AAGCTTTGATCACAGTCGTCAAGTTCAACAATTTCTTTCTCTTGACCGCCTGTGTCAAGCGTTGGTTTGATCTCCGAGAGGTAACACTCTCTCGCCATCTTTTGGTCCCCACTCAAGGAACCGACTGTGCCATCATCCCTTTCAAACTTTATCAACATTAGAGATGGGATGATGACTGCCTTTGAGAGGTTAAGGGTTGGACGGCCAATAATCAGATTGTAGGCAGTCAGCTCTTCTACAACAAGAAACTTGACAACCATATGCCGGCCCTTACCCTTCTCTCCGAACCGGATGGGTAGATCAATCATGCCCACCGGATGTACTACTCCTCCCCCAAAACCTACAAGAGGGTATGAGGCCGGAAGCATGCTGCTGGGCTTATACTTGAGTTTCTCCAAGCACCGGTAGCTGATGAGGTCGGATGAGCTCCCGGTATCAATCAAGATCCGGCCAACTCTTTGATTGGCGATTTTGCACTCGATGACTATGGGGTCATCATGAGGCCGCCTGACCTCACCCCTATCTCTCTCGGAGATGTTAACTTCCGGAAATGAATATTCAGACGACTGGCCCTCATCCACTGAGTTGACCAGTTTCCGAATGTTGTCTTTTGTGCCCCGAATGGTAGGCCCACCTCCCGCAAATCCACCGGCTATGGTCAGGATGGTTTCCTCATCCGTATCCGATTGAGTAGCCGTCTTCTTTGGGGGTGGTCCTCTTGCTTGTTTAGGTGTACCCCTTGACTTGGAAAGATAAGATTTGAGAGCCCCCTCATCAGCGAGCCGGTCGAAGAGCCGCCTGAGGCTAAAGCAACCCTCAGTGTTGTGGCCAATTTCCTCGTGAAAAAGACAATATTTGCTCTTATCCCGGGCGCTTAGAGGACTCTTCATAGGAGACGGTTTTTCAAGATTCAACCGGTCCTTTACTTCGTTGAGAATGGAGGCACAGTCCTTGTTGAACTCCTACTTTGGCACATACGGATCCGACCTCTTCCTTTTCTGGAAAGGTTGTCCGGATGAGTCTTCCGCCCATACCCCCTTTCTCTTGTCTTCCTTTTTGGCCGACTGGGTGGGCCGATTCTCTTTTTTATCGGATCTTTTGTAATCCGTTGGAAGTTTAACAGCACACAATTCCACTGCCTGAATGTAGGCCTCCGCCTTCATGAGTGCCTCGTGAAGAGTGGAGACCCTCTTCCTAACCAAGTCAAACTTAAAAGTTGATCCATCTTTTAAGCCTTTGAAGAAATCAGTATAGGCAACGTCATCAGACAATCCATGGATTTGGATCCTCATCAGGTTAAACCGCCTGACATATGACCGGAGCCCCTCTTTGTCTCCCTGTTGTATTGCCCCTAGATCAAGGCTTGTTTTCTTGGCAGGGATGTTCATAGAAAAGTTGGACGTAAACCAGTAGGCCAAGGTCCTGAAATTATTGATGCATCCGGCTGGGAGGTTACCAAACCAACGTTGAGCAATCCCTTTCAACGTAGCCGGGAAGCACCGGCACCATGCGGCATCATCCAAACCCTGCAAATACATCAGGTTGGTGTATGCCATAAGGTGATCTTCCGGGTTGGTGGTACCGTCGTAGGCGCCTACCAACACGTTTTTGATTTTAGACGGCTGGGTCATCTCGGTGATTTCTCTGGAGAACGCCGTTGGCTGTTCCCCAAGGTTGAGCAGCCGGAGCTGCCAGTCCATAGGCTGGACGGGCGGCTGATGCTGCCCCCCGAAAATACCTGCCTGTGCATAGGGGGATCCAAAGGGCGTATACGGTGTTCCATGCACTTCCGGTTGGATCATATGGGGGCCGGATCGAGCGGAAACCTCGCTCGTCCGGCTGTCATTGTTTGTTCTCGAGTGCCTTCCTGAGGTGGCATTGAAGCTGTCTCGAAAGGTCGATGTTGATGCCGACTCGGATCGCTGAGTCTTTTTATCTTGGATGAGCGTCCGGGCATCAGAATAGACTTTCTTGGTTCCATCCGGCTGAATGTGCCGGACGGGCTTTCTGACTCCATCTATAGGAGTGTGCATCTTTGAGAAATCAAAGAGCCTAGCTGGCATGTCTGACTTCGGATGTGGGGTAGATGCTCTACCCTTGACTGTTTTGGCCGTCTTTTTACCGTGACGCCTTTCTTCCGCCTGACCCTTACGGGGGCCGGCTGTGTAGTCCAGAAGGCCTTTGATCTCTCCTTTGAAGCTCATCATCATATTCATGAGCTCTTCTCTGGAGACTGGGGAGTCTCCAACGGTAGAGGTTAACCCAAGCGGCCCCCTAGTTGGCTTGCTAGGAGCCGCCTGGTTCCCTTCCCGTTCTCTCTTATCTTTGGAACGGGTGTTCTTGGTCCTCAAAGAGCCATCCGCAGCAGTGTAGGCTTCCAAGTCATAGTTATCGGCTGTATCTTGGTCCGAATGGACCTCAACCTCCCCAGTAGGCAGATTGCCTTTACCAGGTAGTATAGGCTCAGATGTCATCTAGAAAGTACTCTCCCCACAGACGGCGCCAGATGTTTGGGGGTTTTCTATGTGTCCTTCGGGAGAGTTACAATTTCCTAGCAGAATTCCTTCTTACGCCTGTACCTGCACCTAGCAGACTTCCTTCTTGCGCCTGTACCTGCACAAGTAACGGAGACTCCGGATGGGGGGTGGGAGTTCCGCCTCCGAAGATTAAGTTAGTATCTTTTCGAAGTGGAATAAGAACAGTAAAAGCTTCTCGGTTCGAGAGCGTTTCAGTAGGTTTTGGCTTTTTTTGTGGTTGCAATTAATGTATGTGTGTCATAAATGAGGTCTACCCTTACTATTTATAGTAAGGGAGAACTGTACCTCAATTAGGGTATAAGGGACACGTGTCTGCAAAGGAATTGGGCCTTTGCAGACCACTGAAAGATTGACACGTGTCAATGACCAAGATGGTCAAGGGTCAATCATCCATGGTCAAGATAAGGAAGTCCAAAACGGTGCTAGTGAGCAAGGTACTGATGGAATCTTTTTGTCCAAATCATTCTTCAATCCAATGCACGGTTTTAGTCCAAAGAGTTTAACAAATGGTTACACTTCTCTTAGTGTAACTAATCTTGTTGAAGGCATCTAGTTAATGTGTCGTTTTTCCAAGCTTGAAGCCACGCATGATTGATGCATTTGAGAGTTACATTGGACTGATTATGAAGGCGTGATTCAAGGCTTGTGTTGGGCGTGAATTAAGGCATTGGTTGGCTGATTATTCTACCTCTTTACTTGGGGGTTATTTGTACTTAATTAGAGAGTTGTTGCTGGAATAAAGGAGCTTGAATCAAGGGTTTAAATGGGAGGTTACAAGCGTGACTCAAGGGGGCTGTTTGCACGTTTCTTGGACGTTGAAGATGCTCTTTGAAGACTTCATGTTTGCTGAACGTTTCCTCTTTAATTTAAGCATAGTTTTAAGCTTAATTGAGTAGTTTTATTTTGTTGTTATGAGGGATTAATTGGACGGTTATATGAGCCTCTTAATCACCTTATAGTTAGTATCTTATTTTGTCTTTTAAATTAGGCAAGTGATGGATGATCATTAAAAGTTGTAAAGAGGAATCCCATGTTCCTTTATGTAACTTATACACTACTATAAATAGTGTGCTATGCATGAATGAAAAGTATCCAGAAATTTGCTTAAACACTTGTGTTTTGATTGATTAAACGTGACTTAGTAACTAGTCATTTTTAAGGTCCAAGTTTGTTAGCTCAAATTTGAAGAGTGCTAGTTTTGGTAGAGTGTTCCCAAACCTAGGAGCTTGCGTAGTGAACGAGTGGGTTGAGTGTTCCCTATTCCTAACTACACCAAGCAAAGGGTGAGTGTTCCCCTTTGTTATATCCGAAGCTAGGGTGAGTGTTCCCCTATTTTCACCTTCATTGTTCACGATTTCACTAAGACCCCTTAACACATACTTTTGTAACAAGGTTCTCATCTTGTTTACACATCATTTGGCGCGTCAGGTAGGGGGTGTTTTTCTAAACATTTCCTAAGGGGTCGAATACCTACATACCATGGGAGAAAACCCGGACTTAAGGACAGCGTTGGAAGCTCTTAATCGATCCATTGCTAGTCAAGAAAGGTTGGCCGAAACCAATGCCAATCTACAAGGGAACCTTGCTGCCTTGATGGCAAGGCTCATGAACGAGCAAGATAGGAGAGATCAAAATGAGGACCCTCCACCTAGGAGGGAGGATAGAAGCCTCAAAGTGGACGTTCCTTCTTTTGATGGGACACTTGATCCAGAGAAGTACTTGGAATGGGAGAAATCCTTGGAGAGGTACTTTGAATATAAGGACATTCATGAGGATGTACAACGTTTTAAGATTGCCAAAGTCAAGCTTAAAGGCTATGGTGATAGTTGGCTACAAGGAGAGCAAAGGGGACGTGCCCTTAGGGGGAAAGCTCCTATCTCTACTTGGGGTAAACTCAAGAAACGGATGAAAGACCGTTTCATCCCACACAATTACAAGCAAAGTCAATATGTGAAGTGGAGTACCTTGCAACAAAATGGGGACTCTGTGGAGGATTACATAAAAGAGTTTGATAGACTTGCTATTGTGTGTGAAGTAACCGAAAATGAAGAGCTCAAGATGGGGCGTTTCGTATCTGGTTTGGACCAAGAATTACAAGACAAACTTGAAGGTTATACTAACCTCACGTTTGTTGAAGCTTGCAAATTGGTGATTAAGTTCGATGCTAAGAGGAAAAAGAAGAAGCCTACTACCATCCCTCAATTGGCACGAAAACCTTCTTTCCCTACAAAGGAAGGTTCTTCCTTCAACAAACCAAGTAATCCACCAAAGAAGGACACCAAGGACGTGAAGCTAGGTGACATTGTGTGTTACAAATGTGGAGGACGAGGTCATTACAAGAAGGATTGTCCTAATACTAGGGCGTTAACCATACAAGAGGTTAAGCTCATGGCCACTCAAAACATCAACTGGGATGAGTTTGAGGAGGAGGAAGAAGAAGTTGAAGATGATTGTGATGATTGCATGGCCGAGCCAGAGGGGAAGACTAGCCTCGTGATTAGGAGGGCCTTGCAAGCACGTGTGGAAGAGGATGCTGCCCCCCAACGCCAACACATTTTCATCACCCGTTGTAGAATTGGTGACGAGGTATGTGATTTGATTATTGATGGAGGGAGTGAGGCTAATACCGTGTCTAAGACCTTAGTATCTAAACTTGGTCTAACTACTACTAATCATCCACAACCTTACAAGTTGAGTTGGTTAGATTCAAATGCTAGCACCGGGGTTAGGAAGCAATGCATGGTTTCTTTTTGTGTTGGTTCATATTGTGATTCTATATTATGTGATGTTGTGTCTATGGATGCTTGTCATATTCTACTTGGTAGGCCTTGGCAAACTGATAAAAAATCTATACATGATGGGTATCACAATACGTATACCATAGTCCACGAAGGGAGGAAGAAAAAACTACACCCTTTACCACCCCCACGGTTTTCACCATCACAAACCCCACAAAAAGAAGTATCCTTGTTGTCTCTTAAAGAGTTTGAGAGGGAGTTGGAAGGTGAGGGAGAGTTGTTCATGCTATACTCCAAGGAAACCCACGAAAAATTTGTTGCTCATAATCCTAGGTTAGCCCAATTGATTAAGGATTTTGAGGACGTTTTTCCGGATGAATTACCTAAAGGACTACCACCCATACGAGGAATTGAGCATCAAATTGATCTCATTCCCGGAGCACCCTTGCCAAATAAACCAGCCTATAGATGTAACCCTTTAGAAACTAAGGAGTTACAACGACAAATTGAAGAGCTAATGGGTATGGGTTATGTACGTGAGTCCATGAGTCCATGTGCCGTTCCTGCTTTGTTGGTCCCTAAGAAAGATGGTACTTGGAGAATGTGTATTGATAGTAGAGCCGTTAATAACATTACCATCAAGTACAGGTTTCCAATTCCAAGGCTTGATGACATGCTTGATGAGTTGAGTGGTTCCAAGGTCTTCTCAAAAGTAGACTTGAGAAGTGGGTATCATCAAATTCGCATGAGAGAAGGGGATGAATGGAAGACTGCGTTCAAGACAAAGCATGGGTTGTATGAGTGGCTCGTCATGCCATTTGGCCTTACAAATGCCCCTAGCACGTTCATGAGATTAATGAATGAAGTGCTAAGGCCATTTCTTGGCAAGTTCGTGGTAGTATACTTGGATGACATTCTCATTTATTCACGTGATGAAGAAGCTCATTTTGATCATCTTTTTCAAGTATTTTCTGTTTTAAGACAAGAAAAATTGTATGGGAAACTAGAAAAATGTGATTTTTTATTGTATGAAGTCATGTTTCTTGGCTATATAGTTTCAGGTGATGGCGTGAAGGTAGACCCTAGCAAAATTGAAGCAATTCAATCATGGCCTAGTCCAAAGACACTCACGGAAGTTCGTTCATTTCATGGACTTGCTTCTTTCTATAGAAGATTTATCAAGAATTTTAGCACACTCATGGCTCCTATAACTGAGTGTACTAAGAAGGGGACGTTTGAATGGACTACCCAAGCTCAAAAGGCCTTTGAAGAAGTCAAGGAGAAAATGTGCAACACTCCTATTCTCGCACTTCCTGATTTTTCCAAGCCATTTGAAGTTGAGTGTGACGCAAGTGGAAAAGGTATTGGTGCCGTGTTGATTCAAGGTGGGCGTCCTATTGCCTACTTTAGTGAGAAGATGAGTCAAGGCAAGTTGAATTACTCCACCTATGACAAAGAGTTCTATGCTATGGTAAGAGCTCTAGAACATTGGTCACATTATTTGAGGCCACAACCTTTCATTTTGCATTCCGATCATGAATCATTGAGGTTCATACATGGTCAAAAGAAGCTGAACGCAAGACACGCAAAGTGGGTCGAATTTTTGCAAACATTTAACTTTTCCTCTAAATACAAGAGTGGGAAAGCTAATGTGGTTGCGGATGCCTTGTCTAGAAGACATAATTTGCTTGGGATGGTTGAAGCAAAGGTACTTGGGTTCGATTTGATCAAGGAGTATTATCAAGAAGATGATGAACTCAAGGGGATAATTGAAAAATGTGTCCATGGAGTCTATGATCTGTTTTCCTTACATAATGGTTTTCTTTTTAAAGGAAATAGATTATGTATTCCAAAATGTCCCATTAGAAGTTTGTTGATACATGAAGCTCATGGGGGAGGACTAGCTGGTCACGTTGGTATTCACAAGACAATGGAGCTTCTCCAAGCTCACTTTTATTGGCCGAAAATGTTAGCCACGGTTCATCGTGTGGTGAGTCGTTGTTCTACTTGTCAAAGAGCAAAAATGGTGTTTCACAAAGGTCTCTACAAGCCCTTGCCAATTCCCGAAAGACCTTGGGAAGATGTTAGTATGGATTTTATTGTAGCTTTGCCTAGAACTCAAAGAGGCAAGGATTCAATAATGGTGGTGGTTGATCGGTTCTCAAAAATGGCTCACTTCATTCCTTGCCATAAAACTGAAGATGCAATGAAAGTGGCTAAGTTATATTTTGAAGAGGTGGTTCGTTTTCATGGGGTGCCACGCACCATTGTGTCGGATCGTGATACTAAGTTCCTAAGTCATTTTTGGAAGTCTATGTGGCGTTTGATGGGAACTAAGTTGCTGTTTTCTACCTCACATCATCCACAAACTGATGGTCAAACGGAGGTGGTGAATAGAATACTTGGTTCGTTGCTTAGGGCTTTGGTGAGCAAAAGTACCAAAGATTGGGATAATAAGCTTGCTCATGCCGAGTTTGCTTATAATAGGACACCTAGTGCTACTACAAAGTATTCTCCTTTTGAAGTAGTCTATGGCGTCAATCCTTATGTTCCCATTGATCTTATTGCTTTGCCAAAAGACAAGTTCGTTCATGGTGGGGCAAAGGAGCAAGCCGAGTTCATGCTTAAAGTCCATAAAGAAGTTCGAAGAAACATTGAAAAGGCAAATGAAATCTACAAGAAACAAGCCAACAAACGAGTGCGAAATGTGAAGTCTTTTGAAGTTGGGGACTTGGTGTGGATTTACATGAGGAAAGAACGTTTTCCTAGCAAAAGGAAGAACAAGCTTATGCCAAGAGCCGAGGGTCCGTTTGAGGTCATGGAAAAGATCAATGACAACGCATACAAAGTTGATTTGGGAGGCCAATATGGTGTCTCAAGTACATTCAACATTGGTGATCTTGCTCCTTACTTTGATGATGACGAATTGAGGGCAATTCCTTTTGAAGAAGGGGAGGATGACCAAGATGGTCAAGGGTCAATCATCCATGGTCAAGATAAGGAAGTCCAAAACGGTGCTAGTGAGCAAGGTACTGATGGAATCTTTTTGTCCAAATCATTCTTCAATCCAATGCACGGTTTTAGTCCAAAGAGTTTAACAAATGGTTACACTTCTCTTAGTGTAACTAATCTTGTTGAAGGCATCTAGTTAATGTGTCGTTTTTCCAAGCTTGAAGCCACGCATGATTGATGCATTTGAGAGTTACATTGGACTGATTATGAAGGCGTGATTCAAGGCTTGTGTTGGGCGTGAATTAAGGCATTGGTTGGCTGATTATTCTACCTCTTTACTTGGGGGTTATTTGTACTTAATTAGAGAGTTGTTGCTGGAATAAAGGAGCTTGAATCAAGGGTTTAAATGGGAGGTTACAAGCGTGACTCAAGGGGGCTGTTTGCACGTTTCTTGGACGTTGAAGATGCTCTTTGAAGACTTCATGTTTGCTGAACGTTTCCTCTTTAATTTAAGCATAGTTTTAAGCTTAATTGAGTAGTTTTATTTTGTTGTTATGAGGGATTAATTGGACGGTTATATGAGCCTCTTAATCACCTTATAGTTAGTATCTTATTTTGTCTTTTAAATTAGGCAAGTGATGGATGATCATTAAAAGTTGTAAAGAGGAATCCCATGTTCCTTTATGTAACTTATACACTACTATAAATAGTGTGCTATGCATGAATGAAAAGTATCCAGAAATTTGCTTAAACACTTGTGTTTTGATTGATTAAACGTGACTTAGTAACTAGTCATTTTTAAGGTCCAAGTTTGTTAGCTCAAATTTGAAGAGTGCTAGTTTTGGTAGAGTGTTCCCAAACCTAGGAGCTTGCGTAGTGAACGAGTGGGTTGAGTGTTCCCTATTCCTAACTACACCAAGCAAAGGGTGAGTGTTCCCCTTTGTTATATCCGAAGCTAGGGTGAGTGTTCCCCTATTTTCACCTTCATTGTTCACGATTTCACTAAGACCCCTTAACACATACTTTTGTAACAAGGTTCTCATCTTGTTTACACATCAGTCAAGCCTTTATTGGGCCACGTGTCTTAGGGTATTTTCACCCTAAACAGAATGTATTTGACTTTCATTTGATTCAAATAGCTTTGTTTGAATGTGTTTAACTTTCATTTGTTTTAATTAGCTTTATAGAATGTATTTGACTTTCACTTGATTCGAAAGCTTTATTTGAATTTGTTTGACTTTCGTTAAATTCAATTAGCTTGTTTTGAATGTGTTAGACTTTAATTTAATTCAATTAGCTTTGTAGAATGTATTTGACTTCCATTTGATTCAATTAGCTTTGTTTGAATGTATTTGACTTTTATATGATTCAATTATCTTTGTAGAATGTATTTGACTTTTAGTTGATTTAATTAGCTTTGTTTGAATGTGTTTGACTTTCATTTGATTCAATTAGCTTTGTAGAATGTATTTGACTTTCATTTGATTCAAATAGCTTTATTTGAATGTGTTTGACTTTCATTTGATTCAATTAGCTTTGTAGAATGTATTTGACATTCATTTTATTAAAATAGCTTTGTTTGAATGTGTTTGACTTTCATTTGATTCAATTTGCTTTGTAGATTGCATTTCACTTTCATTTGATTTATATAGCTTTGTTTGAATGTGTTTGACTTTCATTTAATTTAAAAGGCATTGTTTGAATTTGTTTGACTTTCATTTGTTTCAATTAGCTTTTTTGAATGTGTTTGACTTTCATTTGATTCAATTAGCTTTTTTTGAATGTCTTTGACTTTCATTTGATTCAATTAGCTTTGTTTGAATGTCTTTGACTTTCATTTGATTCAATTAGCTTTGTAGAATGTATTTGACTTTCATTTGATTCAAATAGCTTTGTAGAATGGATTTTACTGTCATTTGATTCAAATAGCTTTGTTTGAATGTGTTTGAATTTCATTTAATTCAATTTGCTTTGTAGAATGCATTTCACTTTCATTTGATGTATATAGCTTTGTTTGAATGTGTTTGACTTTCATTTAAATTAAAAAGCTTTTTTTAAATGTGTTTGACTTTCATTTGATTTAAACGGCTTTGTTTGAATGTGTTTAACTTTTATTTGATTCAATTAGCTTTGTAGAATGTATTTTACTTTTATTTGATTTAATTAGCTTTGTTTAAATTTATTTGACTATCATTTGATTCAAATAGCTTTGTTTGAATATGTTTGACTTTTATTTGATTCAATTAGCTTTGTAGAATGTATTTGACTTTCATTTGATTGAAATAGCTTTATTTGAATGTGTTTGACTTTCATTTGATTCAATTAGCTTTGTAGAATGTATTTGACTATCATTTGATTCGAAATCTTTGTTTGAATGTGTTTGACTTTCATTTGATTCAATTAGCTTTGTTTGAATGTGTTTGACTTTAATTTAATTCAATTAGCTTTGTAGAATGTATTAGACTTTTATTTGATTTAATTGGCTTTGTTTTAATGTAATTGACTCTCATTTGATTCAAATAGCTTTGTTTGAATGTGTTTGACTTTCATTTGATTCAAATAGCTTTGTTTGAATGTGTTTGACTTTCATTTGATTCAATTAGCTTTGTAGAATGTATTTGACTTTCATTTGATTAAAATAGCTTTGTTTGAATGTGCTTGAATGTCATCTGATTCAATTAGCTTTGTTTGAATGTGTTTGACTTTCATTTGATTCAATTAGCTTTGTTGAATTGACTTTCATTCGAT